TAAATAATAGTGCTATATATTATATATATATATATATATATATATATATATATATATATATATACAGTGTAATAATATTGTGTTACTTAAGTTTGATTTAATGAATGAGAAAAATATTTGTAAAATATAGGAAAAATAACATAAATTCAAATAAAAGGCTAATTTAGACTTGTAAAAAATGTTAGAATATGTGTGTGTTAAAATTAGAGGAAGGAGAGGTATTGATTTAAGCTGTTTAAGTGAAAGAGTACCTAATCTACAAACTTGTAGGTTTTCAATGTATTCTCTTTTGATGATGTCCAAAGATACTTACAGAGAAATTGCTGATATCATGTTCTGGATTACTGAATTGGCATCCACAAGGATGGCCTTTGTTTTGTCTTCTTGTGGCTCTCGGATATTCACAGGTTCTGTCACTGAGACGATGATTTGTTTGTCCCACATGCAGCTGTCCATGTTTATATATGATATACTGTGGAATGTAAAAATGAAGGACTGTTTTATATAGAAGTTGAATTTAGATCTTCATATTTGTATAGTATTGTTTACATATTCACAAAAGGAACATTTTGATTGTTCACAACATAGGTACCAAACAGGTTTTTGTATGACTACTAGGTGTTAATGCACTACATACCAAAAAGTTGTGAGTGATTTTCTATGATTATTTTCTAGTTCTCGGTGATTGCATTCTTGGCTTTGATGTTAACAGGATGTTACATCAGAACTAGAAGAACGCAGTCTTTATCTCCATACAATTCTGATCAAAAGGATGGTTCACAAAGTTTATTATCTGATTTTGAGATAGTATTGGATATTAATGACTTGAGGTAGCCTCTTCTAGTAAAATTGGTCATTTCTTGCATTTTGATAATAAAACCATCAACTTCACTGCATAACCTGTATAGTTTTAGCAATGAGAGTAAGGAATGGAGTTTTTAGCATTGTATATGTGAGAGGAACCAAAATTTAGGTAGGAATGAGTCATTTGTCTTGTGATATACATGTAAGAGATGATGAAGTTGTTATTGAGATGAAGATCAATATGTAGATATGGAATTTTTTCGCTGGAAATTGTGTAAGTGAAATGAAGGGCAGGATGAAAAGATGTGACATGCTGTAAAAATTGTGTAGGTTTTCTCCATGTTGAAGGTATACGAATAACATAATCTATATACCATATATGTATAATAGGTGTTTCTCCAGTGTAGTGGTCAAAAATTTGTTTTTCGACATAACTGATGTTGACATGATCACTTTCATGACAAATGAAAAGTTAGGATTCAGATACTTCTTTGCAAAGAATTTTCCATCATTGCAGCTTCCTTCAGAAAATATCCCAAAGAAAAATACACTTGACATAGTACTTCAGAAAGTAAAATTGGCTCTCATTCAAGAACTGGAACAAGTAAAATATTGATGTTTGATGGGTGGAGTGACAAATATACTGGTACACATTATATAGGTTTATGTGTTTGTTACATTACAGTGATAGGTGCACTTGTGTGGTTGCACTTTCAGTAAAACCATCACCTCAAGACTAAAGGCATGGCTAGTCACTTGAGATTAGAATTGGCAGAATTTTATCTCACTCACAATGAGGAAGTAGCAGTAAAGAAGACAAATAGAATTACAAAGTTCCAGTGGAACCACTGCAGTGCACATGCATTTGCTGCTTATAACTGATGGCATGTCTAAAGTACCTGATCTGAAAGAACTTTTGAAAAAATGCAAATAGATTGTTGATGCTCTTCATTATAATGATCATGTAGTGCTTGTTCAACTTTTAAAACAAGCATAGGAGAGAAAAGAGGAAAGCCTAATGGCCAAATACCTGGATGAAGTTGAAAGTATAAATGAAGCCCTGAATCCTGGTCCTGATTTTCCATTGGAGATAGAATAGCTTGTTGAGCAAAGTCCTACTTCAAACCATCGAGCAGAGATACCATAGATTACAAAAAGACGTTGCTAATAGCAGGAAATACCTACCCACTGGAACTCTGTTTATGTGATGTTTCAAAGTATACTACACCTGAAGAGGGAAGTGAACAGTGTTCTGAAATGAATTGGATCTACTAACTTATGTTTCCTTACCTTTGACCTGGAACACAATACAACTCTGCAAGTTTCTAAAACATTTTTAACAGTTTAGTGACATCACGATTAACGAATCTGCCAAATTGTCATACATTAAGCTCATATGATCAGACACTAATAATGCCTGTAGTGTGGATCCAGATGATGATGTGGCCATTAAAGCTCTGAAACAAAATATTCTTCATAGGCTTAACAACTACTTTCCTCTGAGTGATGAAGTGAAACTAGCCTAACTTTTTTATGTTAGTACAAAGGGCACCTGTCATACCAGTTCCTTAAAAGAGAAAACAGACATGATAACTAGGTTTGTTAAAGAAACAGAGAAGCAAATAACCACTTCTCCATCTAAAGAGCATCAGCCCACATCTGGGGATTGTACAAATGCACCAATAACAGCTTCATGTAGTAGTTCTGATAGCTTCCAGTTTGGTGCTCTAAGAAGAAAATTGTTAACAGCTCTAGCAGTCACAAACTAAGATGATGAAAGAGACAGAAAACTCTCATTTGAAGTATGGTCTTACTTGTACTCCTTCTCCAGAACAACAAGGAGATAGCTTGCTCTACTGGAAAAAATGTAGCAATTCACCATTTCCAGGTGTTGTTAGGTGAATCTTATCATGGAATGCTTCTTCTGTGCCAGTTGAGACCATGTTTTCAGCACCAATTTTATGGTTAATGGCAGGAAATCATCCATGCCTCCAAGAAATTTAAACAAACTATTTTCAAAATGTAAAGTAAAAGCTTATTTTGAGGGAGCCATCACTTGTTTATGGGTAATTGAGAACTTTAACCAGTTTAATATTGGGGTATTCTATTTTTTTTTTAATTATATTCACATTGAAATAAAAATCTGTTTGCTTATGCTGTTCATCAGTTTCACATGCATGAATTTCATCTAGTGTAACCTTATAGTTTCAGAAAACTTAATAATACTAACTTTATTTATGGAGTTATACTTGTTGCAGGGGTAGAAACATTTCTCTTTTGTACAGACAAGTACACCTTTACCATGCAATAATCAACCAGTCCCTACTTCTTGATGGAACTGTCATATTATGTGTCAGTTTTGATAATGTTGTTTATGTTTCTTTATTAATGCTCCCATTGCCTTTCAACAGTTGACTGCTTTCTGTTTCTGAGAATAGAAACCGACTGTCTTGTGGCAAATCCTGGTCAACAAGTTTAGTGCAGTTGGCTGGATAGGCTTGTGACTGATTCTAGGGATTAGTGGGGGAGTAAATGATCATGTACAGGCAGTTTGCTTTGACACAACAGCAAGCAACACTGGTCACAGAAGTGGCGCATGTGTGCTGTTAGAACATAGATTGAACAAGAACCTCCTGTATTTGACATGCTGATGTTTATCTGGGAATTTATCTTGGCATATGTTTTCGAAGACTGTATGGGACCATCCTTTGGTCCAGATAATGCAATTTTCATTTCATTCCATTAATCTTGGAGTAAGTAGCAGAAACTATAGAGGAAGTTAAGAACAATGTCATTGAGTCTGCTACAAGACAACTTCAGGTCAGTCAACCAAGAGATGATTATTGAGAGCTTCATGAACTAGCTATAATCTTTCTTGGTGCCATCCCTCTTCATGGAATACGACTTATAGCACCTGGAGCACTACATCATTTACAATGGATGGCCAAAGCATTATATGCCCTCTAGATCTGGATGTTTATGGGACAGTTTAAGCTCACTGGCTGTGAGGAAAGAAAACTCTGTGACATGTGCATTTTGTTGTTCGAGCCTTATTTTAGGGTATGGTTCACTGCTCCTGAGGCGATTTCTCCTCCTCTAAGTGATCTTAACTTCCCACAGTATCTTGTTAAGTATAAGAAAGTGAATTCTGCTTTTTAAAAATTTACTGAACATCTATGGCATCTTAATGGGGAACTCATTGGTTTGGTATTCTTTGATTCAGCTGTATTCATAGAAACAGAACAATTAATGGTAAAGGCACTAAATGAGAAGGAAGGCATGGATGAACCTCAGTAGTGCATCTGCTGAATATTGGAAAATCTGAAGACACCAATTGAAGATTTTATCAGGTGCCTC